CTTCATCCTTTCAAATTTCCCCTCTCGAGTTGTGAGTTGTGATCAATAGCAAGCAAGGTGGTCCCTGCTGGCCTAGACCGTCCAAAGTGGCACTTTGCACCACGTCACGCAGTCCTGGCATGGCAGTCCACTTTGAGTGATAGTCTAGAGGCCCTCATTCCCTCGTCGAGACCTTCAAGGACCTTCCCAGTATCCAGGATGTCGGTATCATCCTGGGCTTTGGCTTTGGCTTGGGCTTGGGCTTTTGTCATGACCTCGAGCAGAAGCTGAGCTCCTGATCTCCGTGCGGATTTCGGTAAGCTACGTTGCCATCGAATCCATTGGGTTGGAGTTGAACAATGCTGGCTGACGATCGCCGAGATGAGGCATGATCGATGAGTACATACTATGTAATGCTCCATAATTCCCTCGATACAACCGTCAGAGGTAGCATTGATTCGGGTCCACACATTAATTAAAATGCTGACAGATTGAAATCTCAATATCATAGATTGTGTGATACGGTACAGTACGATACGATACGATGCGTGTGCCAGCGCCCGGCTTTAGGTCGGTTCGGCAAGCATTACGTTGGCGCTGTGGCCGCAGCTAGCTGTGTAGCTGTAGGTAGTTAGAATAGAGGTAGCTGGTAGTAGTGTCTATTTACCTAGGTAGTATACCTACCTACCTACCTACCTCCCTTACCTAGTTATAGGTAGGTACCTTACCGAGCTCTTACTAGGTACTAACGTAGTACTGAGGCAATCTACCTAATTAGGACATTTGGGTCCACTACTTGGGCTGTCCCGTCTGAGCACCTACCTCCCATCATCCAGAGATGGCTTCCGTTTCCGTCCTCTACTTTACCATACTTAGACTCTCATCCTTGCTTGATCTTTAATCTTCCAACGACTTTTTTGACAGTATTTCCCATAAAGTCCGACGGGGCATACTATTAGGCCGTTATCTATATGGACGTCATGTCTATTTCGTCTTAGATCACTCCTATCCTCAACATATACCAACCATACCGTACCATATACCGTACACAGTTTGCCAACCCTTTCTCCGCACTACCTACCAACCCTTACTCGAAAATATCCAAGCCAGGCCAGACAAGACAGACCAGTTCAGCACAGCACCAGCCTCTAGGCCCTGGTCCTGGCCTTGACTCGGTCTCGTCGCAATCAATCAATCACGGGAGAGGGCTGGCTGAACTCACTCACATGTGCCGACAAAAGTAAACATCTATTCTCTACTTTTGCCATAAGTTAATACCCCGCCAATTTCACGTCAACATATTCTCCTCTCCCTCCTTTTCCCCTCGTCCCGATTCCAGTTCCAGCTCCCTGGGCTGCGGGACATCCCTACATATCGGAAACACAACGGGCTTGTCTGACATCTGCCTACCCGTCGTCGTGACCGTTGTGACCCAGCACCAACACCGGCTGGTTCCCTACTGGAATTGGATACTGGCCCATCCGACAGCACTCCCTATTTCATTCCAGGTCTCTTCGCTACGGGCGGCAGCGATAGCGTTAGACTTGCCAGTGAGCAAGTTGTGCTTTGGGCCTCTGGGCTGGATTAGTGGCTGAGACAGCCAGCGCAAGCAGTACAAGGTCAATCAACACGCGATTCGTCGCGTTACCCAAGTTACTCGGGATGGGACTTATTTCTTGAGGCAGCTATCCGACCTTGTTAACCATCCTATCGCTTTTCCACTGTATTTCCGCCGTTCTGCAACTTGGCTATGCTTATTTACCTGATCTTGTCTTCCGGTCTACAACCCCTATTGTTTCAAGCTCTGAGGCAACACACGACTGTCAGGGTTTCAATCAACAAACTGACCCGAGTTTCCCATAGCCGTTCGCTACTTGTTTCATAGCCTGTGGCTTTGGACGAGCGCAATTGCCCATCTCCGCCACTACTTATATATTGGAGTCAGGGTAAATCCGGTACCCACCAGCCTCCACGATCTCCGTCACCGTGCTACCGATCTCACTGCCCCCGACTTACTCATTATCGACGGTGTCCAATTCTCGGCAAGACACCGTAGTGATCCAAAAACTTTCAGAGACCATGGTTTACTGTGGGAAAGCCTCTCAGGGCTGCCAGAATTGTCGCGTGCGACGTATCAAAGTGAGTTAATCCGCTGGTGTCATCCATGACTTACAATTCTCTGTACATGCAGTAGTTCATGGGCTTTGACTAATTGGCAATTCTCCTCAACAGTGTGACAAAATCAAACCGGAATGCTCACAATGTATTCGGGTTGGGAAAAAATGCCCTGGTTATCGTGACCAGCTCTCCCTCATGTTTCGGGACGAGAGCAGCAAGGTGATACAAAAAGCACATGCGCAATGGGGTGTTGGCGAATCCTCTGAGGCCCTATCAACACAAACATCCTCCAGCTCTCTGGCTTCTTCTTACTCGTCCAACAGCTCTACACAAGCCTCTTCCATTTCTGGTTCTTCCTCTATAACGTCTCTACACAACTATCCTGGTCCCGCAGCGATAGCATCCTCCTATAAACCGTCCAAAGATGGCTGGCCGACATCTCCTGATTCAACTGTGAGCCAGCAAACACCATCGCCAACTCCTCAATCTCCCGCTTCGTCTTTATATCATACGACCTCAAATCCTTTAACGGTACAGCGTATCGTTATACGGCCACCAAGGCTTTCGCCGCCAATCGATCCAAGTCTCGAGGAGCAGGGGGTTCAGTTCTATGTCAACCGTTACCTGATAGGCCATCCAGATGAGCCCAGGTCCCCCAGCGATTTGTCACACACGGAATGGCTATGGGACCCCGCTGTTCAAGATGTAATGGCCGCGGTTGGCCTCGCTAGCCTTTCCAATCTCAAAGACGATCCCAGCATGATGACGATAGCCCGTCAACGATATGGGTTGGCTTTGCGCCAGACTGGTCGCCTCGTACAGACCTCGAGCATGCCGGATTTCGAGGTCACGATGCGCTCCGTCGTCATGCTTGCCATGTTCGAGGTTTGTGCCCCGACCCCTAATGCTAACCAACACACCCGCATGGTCAGCCCCATTTCCCCGATCTACCCTTCTCCTGTCCAATCTTGGCTTTTGATTTGCTAATACTCGTTTCCAGCTTGTCAAGGGAGCCTATCAAGGACTAGGGCACGTCCATGCGCACGTTATGGGTGGGCTTGCTCTGTTGCGACGATGGCTACCTATGCCAGCGGCCGCTTTCCTCGGTGTTCGTGCCATGGTACAGATGTCTTATTCTCTTGTATGTCATGATTTCTAAGCGCATTGTCCCAATTCACTCACATAATTGCTCAGTTTATACCTGCTCACATGTCCGCAACACCTCTGCCGGAGCCCCTATTCGAATGGATTTCGTTTGCAAGAACCCTCCTCGACCCAGCCGATCATCCTGCTACCGATCTCGGCCCATTGATCGGGCGTTTCATTCAAACCTCAACATACATAAAAACTCATGCTCTGGTCGACGGTCGTTCTATCACAGTGTCCACCTTGAAGCAATTATTAGATATCGACGAGTCATTCCTTAGTTGGGAACGAAACCTTGGACATACTTGGCGATTTCGCGAAGAGAAAGCGGAACACCTACCTGCAGCTGCAGTATTCGATGGCGCGTGTCATGTCTATTTCGACATGTTTGTTGCCCGGATGTATGGACACTACCGATGGGCGCGAACTCTCTTGAACCAGACAATCATCGAATTCATCAAGGCGTACCCCAAATCCAGCGCGCCCTTGATCTCGTTGGCTGAATATGGACATCGATACGAGGTTGTTAGAAAACTCGCCCGCGACACTCTCGTGAGCACCCCAACACATTGGCGACACCCGCTTCTCACCGAAAAGGCTGCCGTACCAGTCGAGAGACCTGGAGGGGCGGGCTCTGGCTCTGCTGGACTTCCCGTTGTTCTGTTTCACCTTCAAGTTGCTGCCTGTGCTCCTGGTGTCCCAGAAGCATACTGGGACTGGGTTGTGGCAGTGATGGAGTGTATATGGAGTGATATGGGTATTCTTCACGCCAAGTGCATGATGGATACCATGAAGGCATATCGTGACTCATTGAAGATAAAGAAGGAAGTGGTCGAAAGCAGTGTGCGGTGATGATAACTCGCCCAGACATCGGTATGGTTATAAACATAATCCTGGAATGTCTGAGACTGTGGATGCATCTTGTTCGGTGTTTAATGGCTTTGTGGGCTGCATTGGCATCGAATTTCTTCTTTCGGGTACTTAGGTGTAGAAAAGCTGACATCGAGCGTCGTTCTTCACCCGGAGTTGGCTGGTTTGGGTATTGCATGTGGACTTTTAGGTTCACGGGAGGTTACGGTTAACGAATATTCGGTGCATAGCATGGCCACTTACGCTTTTGGTAGACATGATAGCTTCTCTGCCTCAATGTTGCTGCTCGCACCTGAGGCCTTTATATTACACAACTTAGGTTGATAAATTCTTTATTTGTCTATAGTATTTTCAGAGTTAATGGGAACGACCATGGCTCAGACATGATAGTCATACTATACAAAACCATTAGCACACTCACTGGCCCATTTAGGTAGTTGGATGGCTTCAGAAACAGATGCCCTAACTCTTTGTCGAGGCATCATACTAGCGCTAAGTAGCAATTTGGGACTATTGAACATTCCTTGATCTTTTCAGTAGTCTCTAAAATTGATGAATTCAAAAACCTGGTTATCATCGGTGCCTTTTCCATTCATCGGAGCTGCCTGGATCCCCCCAGATGTCAGTGGGGGAACTATCCCCGGAGAAATAGTGTAGGCGTGGGCCGACCCTGGCTCAGGCACGTGTATCATTAATGGAAGGCAGCCACACCTTCAACTCCACCATAACATCCATACCTACCTGGCCAGCCCAGCCCAGCCTTATCACAACGACCATCCCTTTCGAAGCCAGACTATCCGCGATTCATCAAAGCAAAGTTCATCATCGATACGAAGGAGGCTGTCTCACTACAACAGCAACTACATCAGCCGCCGACTTGAATCATCATGGGTACGGATGCCCGAAAAGGTAACGCGACTTTAATCATGCGCGACTGCATTAGACTAACACCCAGCTTGCAGGCGATGACGGCACGATCAAAGTCGCATCTAAGAACAAGAACGGAAAGATCAAGCTGAAGAAGCCAGCGCCAAAACACAGCAAACCTGGAAACTGGATGGATGGCAGTGTAATTGAGAGTAACAGTATGTAATGAGGTCATCCTATACAAGCTTGGCGAAGCCGCTAATGTTCCCAAGACAAGAAGAAGAATGGCGCCTTGCCTGTGGGTGCGCCCTCACCAGGTCCTGTTGTAAACGAACTCGACGAAACTTCCCGCGAAACCTTTGCGACAGGACGACCCCTCGAAGATAGCCCCGACTTGCAACAATGCAAGCACTGTAAGAAGAGCGTTTTGAAAACAGCCGCCAAGGCGCATATTGCGCAATGCCTGCGGTTAAAGAAAGAGAAGGCCCAAAGAAAGAAAGAGGCTCGCGAAGCAAGAGAGAGGGCAAAAGAGGCAGCAAGACAAGAAGAACAACGGAAAGAGGACGAAGAGAATGGGGTTGAGCGGGGCGACGACGACAGTGACGACGACGGAATCTCGGCCGAAAAGAAAGCAACTGGAAGCAAGACTGCCAAAAAGGCCGCGGGCAAGAAACCCGAGGACGATAAGAAGGGAAAGAAACGTAAGGCCGATGGTGATCCAGACAAAGGACCCAAGAATAAGAAGAAGAAGGATGAGCCAAAAGCCAAGGTCCCTAAGCCAAAAGGTGAGACACTGTTCACAGGTCACTTGAGGGGCTTGCACTAAAACTGATGCTAGGACCTGTGGACGTGGAGCGGCAGTGTGGTGTCTTGTTACCCAATGGACAGCCATGTGCAAGATCATTGACATGTAAGAGCCACAGTATGGGAGCGAAGCGCGCAGTCGCAGGAAGATCTTTGCCATACGATATGCTTCTTGCCGCGTACCAGAAGAAGAATCAAGCGAAGCAGCAGAGTAAGCCTTGGTCTAGTCCACCCACTACCTGGACACGACTAACAATTGACTCCAACAGAGGCGGCGCTTGATGCCAACGCGCCGATAGAAGATGAAGACGAAGCAAACAACGGACCAGTCGATTCCGACGAAGAAACAACGGCGGTGATGGGTGCTCTATCACAATGGCGTCCTCAACCTTTGATACCACAACCTACTTTCACTCCCATAAAACGACAATACCAGCTCGCAAGATTACACGAACAGCTTCAAATGGCCACCAATGGTGGGAGGACAAATATATTTTCGGTCACCGGTTTTGGAGCACAGAAGCTTCCCGAGGGCCATCCTGGGCTACAACCCGCTTCAGAAGACGCTCCTGGAGAAATAGACATTACTGCGGGTTTCAATAATGCTGGGCGGACGACAGCGACATTCACATCTCAAAGACAACCATCAGTTTCAAGCAGGGCATAGGATGGAAACTTGTCTTGCAGAACAGGCAAAGGGTTGAAAACAGAACCAACACACGTACGTTCCCTGGAAGCGCATCGAGGTCGATTGTATAACGGACCATTTCCTGGAGGAGATACCAAACACTGTTATTATTTGTGACGAGGAGTATTGTGCAGCGGGATCTGGAAGGCTTTGCTTTTGTATGAGAAAAACAATACTGTTATGAGTCTCCCCTGTCTACTCCGTACCTAATAAGTACAAGTATAAGGTACCTGTCTATCCGTCATGCCTCGGAACATGGGTCACATGCGGTGACTGGAGGATGGTGGGGCCGCGCCGAGGTTGGCTTATGACGTCGTGAATGCGATAGCGCGTGTCGCTCATTCTTACGGTCTTGTAATACCAGACAGGGCTGCTTACCTTACTTACATGCGGCTCAACATCCATGTTGCCTCGCTCGAGACTCTTCTTTCACACCATGCACGTGCGCGTGCCTTTCAGCTATCATCACTTCGTTTCGCGGCATTGATTAGCATTCCCAGTATCTTGATCCTGTTACAATGTCGTCTCAGCAGGCTTTCAATGCCCTTGGCCACGCCGTATCTGGCTCTGTAGGGACGGCCATATCAACAGCATCGCTGTACCCATTGGACCTGGTTACGACTCGACTCAAGGCGCAACGAAAGACGGAAGGCTCTACAGGCGACTACGATGGTGTCATTTCAGCTTTCAAAGGCATCCCCGCCAACGAAGGAGGGATCAAGGCGCTGTACAGTGGACTGGGAACGGATGTGGCCAAGTCGGTCGTGGACAGTTTTCTATTCTTTGGGTTCTACAGCTATCTACGCCCTCGACATCGCAAACCCAAGATTGTCGAAGAGCTTCTTGTGGGCGCCGTCGCTGGAGGGTGCGCTAGGGCTCTCACCACCCCCATCTCGAATGTTGTCACGCGGAAGCAGATGTTGGGGAGTGATCAGTCGCTTCTGGAGATTCTCTCCGAGATTAGAAAGGAAAGCGGATTGCTAGGTCTCTGGTCTGGCTACTCGGCTACCCTGATGCTCACTCTGAATCCCAGCATCACCTTCTTTGTCAATCGACGGCTAGCAGCGCGGATCTTGCCAGCCCTCGAAGAAGAGGACTTTCCAGTGGCATGGATCGCCTTTTTGATTGCCGCCTCGAGCAAAGCTACTGCCACTGCCATCACATATCCTTTCCAGACGGGCAAGACGCGCCTTCAAATGGCGGGCAGCTCCTTGAGCACGGCGGACGCTGATGTATATGAACGGCAGAGCGGAAGTTCGAAGCGAAAGCATGTACTGCGGAGGATGCTTGATCTTCTCAATCAGTCCATATTTGGCGTCATTATTCGCATCATTACCAACGAGGGTATGGAAGCACTCTACGCTGGACTTCAGGGAGAGCTCCTCAAAAGCTTCTTCAGTCACGGATTGACGATGCTCACCAAGGGCGTGATTCATCGGTTTGTTGTTCGTGTATGGGTAATGATGCTGTTGCCCTATTTGCGACAGCGAAGTCTGCGGATGAAGTGATGGGATGTGGTTCAGCTCAAGAGTCTCAACATTGGAAAGCAACGCTCGAACGCTCCACGGTGTTTCCTCCGTGAGCTGAAAAGCCTGTCCCTTCGGACTGGAGGGCTATCAAGCCAAGTATCAAAGATCCAGGGCCGGTATCTGTCTTGTGTGACTTGGAGGTCAGAGGTACGTCGCAGACGTAGCAGGTCAGGGGTTGGACATCCTCAGAAGATGACATTTTGGATGATGGGATCATGAACTGTTTAACGCAACTGTGACACAAAACGTGACCGCACTCTCTGGACATCATGGGATTGGAGGCGTTTGTGAGCATCTTTAAGCATGATGGGCAAGTCCTCTGCTTGCCCTTTGATGTTTCCTCTTCGTTGAAGTTGATTGTGATGAGATTTTGCATGGTGATAGGGTGGGGACTGTCGGATGCAGATGCTGGACATGTTGGTACGGTCTTGTCTTTCTTCGCAACTGGCGGGAGTTTGCTGGATTGGGCGTCTGGTGTAAGCGATGGAGTCCAGAATGATGGGAGATGTGGTTTCGCAGCCTGTACGATAGGGAGTCAAGTTAACACAGAATACTACACCACTGAAGGGTCGAGATTCTTACCTTTTCCTCTTCCAGCGCTTTCCTGGCTTTGACCTTGTCCTCGCGCGCAATGCGATCCAGTTCATCTTTGTCGAGTTCAAACTTACGCTTCGTACCTCCTACTACCAAAGCTTGCGAGTTCGAATCGCCGATTGTCGCATCCACCCTTTCATCTTCGGTCTTGGCTACGTTTGGCTTGTTCTTGCGATCGAGACCAGCCTGCGTCAACTCAAAGTCTTGGATGGCGCGCTCGCGATCCAGCTCATCCTCGTGCGCTTTTTGCTTAGCGGCCTCTTCCTCAGCAGCGGCGCGCGCCTTCTGGGCGCGTTTGATTTCCTTCTTCTGCGTGAGTATGTTCGATAGTGCGCATTCGCGGCAGAATATATCGCCGCGTCGGCATGAGACAGGTTCGCGGGCAATGTTGAGACACAGGCCACACGAGCCAAACGGGAGGAAGGAGTCGCGGTGAAGGCGAGCGGACGAAGATGACCAGTGTGATTTTGCGAGGGCTCGTTCGTGAGAGGTGAAGACTGGACGGGAGGTGTTTCGTTTACCTGATTGATTGATTAATTCGTAAGGCAACCGTTGTGATGCTATCATGAGGGACGTACTGTGAGCTGACACCATGACGATATCTGGCTCGGAGGAGCTCTGTTGTCGTTGGTAGAAACTGGTAGAGGAGTATTCTATGTCGCAGCGTCTTGCAGCTTGTAGATATGAGTTCAATGGGGTTGAGAAAGACCACAGACGACAAGAACAAATCTAAAGTAATGGATGTTTAAATAAAAGTTGAGGTAGACCTCAACTTTAATTTTTATTCTAACGTAAGGTAGCTGCAATACAACCCCAAGACATGCCTTATTAGGTACCAGTTAATAGGTACCTACTAGGTAGGTTACCTAGTAGGCACACCATGTCATTTCTACAGGGTAAGCAAACAGGAAAAAAGTTGGAGGTGGGTCTATTACGAGCCGCTTCTCTCCGATCAAATACTTGGTACGTACGTATAAAGCACTTGTCTAGGTACCAAGACTTGTCTTTTCCCATTCAACGAATACTCGTGTTTCAATATTGTCTCGCTTTTACAATGATAATCTGATATCTTCTCAAGACTGTCGTTACCATGTCAGATTCTGAACCTCCTGCGCAGCCAAGTCTGCCATGGCGCATTGCCTCAGCTACTGTCATGTGCTCAGTTGGCGCATTCGCAAGAGTATTTATGAACGGTTTTAATACCCTCGAGGTCACAGGCCTACAAGGGCTTCTCGGGGTTCTTGACCGTAGGAAAAGGGAAGGGCGTGAGCGCGGGCTGCTCACAGTGTGCAATCATGTAGCAGTGTATGTCGTGTCGTGGCAATCCAACACTACGTACGGCCCATGCTAACAGTATATAATGCATACAGACTTGACGATCCTCTGATTTGGGGCATGCTACCAATGCGGTACTTCTTTGACGCAGTCAACATGAGATGGGGTCTTGGGGCACATGACATATGTTTCAAGAATAAGTGAGTCTTGAATTCAATAAACGAGAGAGAGAGAGAGAGAGAGAGAGAGAGAGAGAGTGTGTGTGTGTGTGTGTGTGTGAGCGAGCATTGGCTGACAACTCAAATAAATCACAGAGCCACTTCGACATTCTTCAGTCTTGGTCAGGTTTTGCCCACTCACAGATTATGGTACTCTCCCTATGGTGGTCTATACCAGCCAACCATGACACAAGCCATCAAGCTGCTGTCGGGCCCATCACCAGCTTCATGGTCTACAGCCTCTGACTCTCCTCTCTCTGCAACTCCTGCCTCGACAAGACCTCCTCCGGTTCCCCAACCACTCTTCTTCTCCACAAACGGTGTCGATCAATTTACAGCACCGTCTGCCTACTCAGCCTATCGAAATGCCTGGGTTCATGTATTTCCAGAAGCTTGTTGTCACCAAAGTCCGGAAAGCGGATTGCGCTACTTCAAATGGGGTGTATCTCGCCTGATCCTCGAATCTGACCCGGCTCCAGAGTTCATCCCCATGTTCGTCCATGGTACCCAGCACATTATGGCCGAGGATAGAGGATGGCCCAGATGGGCGCCTCGTTTTGGAAAGACGGTCAAGATAGTGATAGGCGAGCCGACCGACGTTGATCAGCTCTTCGGTCTGCAGCGGGCAGCATGGCGCAAGCTTGTTACCAAAGGTGACCCAGAACTACTCCGAAATAGCCCAGAGGCCACGGAGTTAAGAATATCGGTGGCCAGGAGAGTAAGAGACGAGGTCGAGAAGCTGAGAGAACGCGCAGGCTTCTCTGCAGAAAAGGACGAAACACCAGCTCTCGCGGAAACATGGGCCAAAGATCCTCTCCGCACAAAATTTAAGAGCCCAGTCGATGGCAGTCTTGTCAACAGACACGGGCCAAAGGAACGCCCATGAGTATTAAAGTCATACATTTCGCTCGTAGGATTATAGACTAAAACCAGGAGGGTCAACCCCTCCAACCCCCCTGACACTTGAGGTACTCACTCATACTCAACATCAGTTGTTGACAGGAATGAAAAGAGAGAAGAAAAAAAATGACGAATCAAGACACCGACACACGCTGCTGCTGTCCCAAGATCAAATATCTCTCCTGTCCTGTCTAATTCATGCTGACCCTTAACTCCATCGTGCTGAGAAATAGTCGCCACGTAATATTACTGTATTTTCTTCTTTTGGTTTGCAGTGAGACGCTGTTGCTGAAACAGCTCGATTCAAAAACGCTGTGATCATGACGCAACAAAACTAGAAATTTCGGTCTCTCGCCACTGGCGGCTGGGGCAAGTTCTAATACGCCTCGAAACCTTGAGTGGGAACAGCCTGGGGGTATCCGCGAGCCTGCGCCTGGAGAGCCTGCTGCTGAGGGTGCATCATAAGGTCGTTGAACCAAACGTGCTGAAGGGCATCATGGGCACTGATCCTCAGCTCTGGTCGAAGCTGTAGCATTCGCTGCAGCAGGTCGATACCGTTGGGGTCAATCGCCGGGAGGATGTTTCGAAGATCTTGAGTGGCGTACATATGGAATGTAGGCTTGTACTCGGGGAACTGCGTGATACCGGGCCAGGTACGCTCTGTTGGTGTTCCCATTATGCGGAAAATGCGGATGATCTGGTCTTCGTTTGTGGTTCCGGGGAACAGAGGTCGACCAGTAAACATCTCGGCCATGATGCAGCCCGCGGACCAGATGTCGATACTGGTGTTGTATGTTCGGCTGCCGAGGAGGACGTCGGGGGCGCGGTACCATAGGGTGACGACCTCGTTGGAGAAGGTGTTGACGGGGATACCAAAGGCGCGGGCAAGGCCGAAATCGCCGAGCTTCAAAACGCCCTTGCTGTTGATGAGCAAGTTCTGGGGCTTGAGATCGCGGTGAAGAACACGATTTTGGTGACAGAAGTCGATGCCCTTGAGGAGCTGGTACATGAAGGACTTGATGGTGGTAGGCTTGAGGGCGCCGCGATCACCATGAGTGTCCATGTACCTCTTGAGATCGCCGTCCATGTACTCAAAGACGAGCATGAGTTTGTTCTCGGTATGTATAACATCGTGCAGCCCAACAATATTCTCGTGCTTGAGCTCCTTCATCAACGAAATCTCTCGGATGGCAGTCGACGGTGTTCCCTCTTCGGAGTCGAGGTGGATTTCCTTGAGAGCCACAAGCTCTCCGGTCTGTCTGTTGCGGCCCTTGAAGACGGTGGCATAGGTACCTTCACCGAGCTTCTCTAGCTGCTGGAACGAGCTGGGGTGTCGCTTTCCGTCCATGTTGAGGTTGAGGTGAGGGTACGAGATGATATCAGTCTGATGCGGGTAGAGTTTGAAAAGCGAACGAGGATGCGTGGGTATTGGCTGATAATGGCGTGTCACCGATTTCGACTTGGGCGAGGTTTGTCGACAATCTGTAGGAGAGAAAGATTATGCGAGTGGAGGTAAAGGGTGGGTGGGTTGTGGGCAGTGGCTACTGTTTGCTTCTATTTCTTGATATTTTGGGTTTATTTTGTTGATGACTCACAAACTCTGCCCTTGATAGAGAGTATGTATTTGCGGGTTCCGCCCTTTAGGTTGGCCTCACTTGTTTTTGTTGAAAAAAAAAAATCCCTTTCGAGTCGTATCCTTTGATTGCGGTAGGTGACTTTTTGGATGAATGGAGGGGGGCCTGGGGGGATGGAAAGGGAGGGGATGTCGATAGGTACCCAAACAGAGGAGGCTGCTGAAACGGTCCCGTCTCCTAACTACCTACCTAGGGAGGGAGGGGCTGGAGGAATCGACAGAACCTTAGGGGAAGAGAGTCTGGAATTGATCTACTAACTTATTAAACCTGATACCTACCTAGTAGTAGGTCATTGATTGAAACACGGGCCAAAAACCAAGGTAGGAGCCAGTAACAGCATAATTGGTGATATATAATATATAGGTAGTGATATTCTTTACATTTCTTTTGTTAAACAAGGCATCTAAAGTATAGATGTTACGGGACTGATCTTGGTCTACAACAGTGGACCTATGGGTGCTTATAGCGGGTGTCAATCATGCCTCAAGCTCATCACGGGGGCTTCTTAGTGCTATGGATTAAGCGAACGCGCACCTGGTAGGTGGGGGCCCATGCACCCCCCCCACCTACCAAGTATGGCATTTTACCCCATGAATCAATAAGACGATTTGACGGGATAGACTATATTTGTTGAGGCTACTTAACCATACCTCCTTACCTTATCATCCAACTGAGTTTGGACTTTTAAAAACAATCGTCATCGTGCTACACAATCCATCCATCCCGCATTTCCCGTGTTTCTTCTTAACATCTTCACTGCTTGCCCCTCGCTGTGTTACGCCTTCGAATGCAAAGACATACGCACTCCTGTTCCTACGAGGCACCGTGACATGAACAAAGACAGCTTGCCCCTTATCAGAACTGCACCTTACCGTAACACCCCTGTATCCGCCGTGTAAGCACAGCCAGCACAGCACAGCATAGCACGCTGCCTCGGACCCCTCCAACCACATACAACAATGAGACCTGTCTTGCCTACGAATCATCCTCTCAACACTCGGTCCTCAGACCGGCCTGACAGCTTGGTACGCCCTTCTTCGACTGTACCTACTGCCTGTTTCATCACCACAGAGGCCGACCTTGACGCTCGCCGAGATCGCTCCCGTCCGCGGTTACGCCAGCAAAGCGATCGGCGCAAGTGTAGTCGTAACTCGCGCCGGCCTTCAACCCCGCGTCAACGACGTTCGCCTCCTCGTACCGGCCGTAAGCCTGCGTATCTCTCATCGGAGTCTGACGATTCAGAGGATTCTTCTGTTGAATCTGTTGTCGAAAAAGACCCCTTGAATTTACCATCGCAGCCAAGCACTCCCTCTCTGATCGGTCTTTCGCACTCTGGTTCTGTCATGAGCATCTCGTCGCAAAGCTACTCCCTAGCAGGTCCCTCCGTCGACGCCCATAGCGACTTGATCCATGATGATGTCTCCTTACCCGTAACAGATCAGGCAGATAATCAAGAAAACCAAAGCACGGTTCCTCAGCTTATCATGCCGAGCTTGATGGTTCCACGACGTCGTCCTTTCTCGGAGGTAGGTAAATCTCTGGGCAAGCTCAAGATTATGGTCGCTGGGCAATGCGGTAAGTACATCAACAGAATACCCATCAGTGGCGGTTTTAACGAACGACTTCAATAGGTATTGGGAAAACTTCTCTCATCAAGACTCTGGCAGAACGTTGCAAGCACATCGTTCACATGGATCCGATAGAGAATCGCAGTGCGGTGCATGCTACTGAAACATATGCTAGTTCGCGCCCACAGCCGTGGTGGCGATCTGATTCTGAACTCGCTGTTACAGCACGGAGGCGGATCTCTACCACTGGGGATGTCCTTGATAGGAATGTATGCTTTGTTGAAAGCCCAGGCCACCGACCAGGTGCCTCTGTACGTACCCAGACCACCCGCCTTAGATTATCACATTTTAACAATAACTCAGGGCTCGTGGCGTGATCTTCATTATGTCGAATCTCATTTGGCATCTCTGATGAATAAGCCCATGGCTGATTCGGATCTGTTCACCTTGGTCAACTCTGGCGGCGAGCCAGTCGTAGACGCTCTGCTCTACCTTATTCCCCACAGCGGTAAGTTCATCCAGTTTCGTATGCCCACCGCGTTTGCTAATGAGTTCCAGGCCTTGTACGAGAGGATGTCGAGTACATTAAACGCGCTCAGCGCATGACTAACGTAATCCCAGTTCTTACTAGGGTTGATGAGCTTGCACCAGAGGAAATCAAGCACATCAAACAGCAAGTTGTGAAGAGTCTGGTTGATAAGGATGTTGATTACTTCTCCTTTGCAGGGCCTGACGAACCAGAGGAGACCAAGTGTGTATATGCCGTTTCTACCGAAGCCCAGCCGGACTATCATACTATGGACGCCAGTACCCTTATGGACTCGGAATACATCCCGCCGCTTTTGCCTACAGACTTGGGCCGACTCGTCGACCACGTCTTTTCTCTGGACGGTAGCGCTCGATTACGGCACTCTGCAGCGGTGAAATGTATCCAGTGGCGACGTGATCACGGCGATAATTTGCTTCAAAATGCCTTGTCGAGCGGAACCTTAGTCTCTCGATCTATTCCGGAGAGGGCCATGAGATTGAGGTCCTTCAGGCGGACGCCGAGCTGGGATCGGCTGGAGCTCTATAACTGGGCGAACAATCTGCGCCAGAGTCTTCAATCCGAGAGATTATACCATCTGATGGAAGAGAGGGCCATTTCAAACGCTGTGGCGAAGCAGTCGAGTCTAGTCCACGTCCCCGGCAACGGCAAGAAAAAGACGCAGTCTAAGAAACGGAAAGCTCCTCAACCTACACACCAGGATCCGCTTGGCCTCTTGGAGATGGGGGGAGGTCTCAAGCAGAAAGGGATGCTTGCTCTAGAAATGGTGAGCAGTGTTGGCCTGGTTGGTTTGGTGGCTTCCAAGATCATGCACACCGGCTGGTCTGACGGGATGTGTTCTGTTGTTGCATCACGAAGAAGAAACATAGAGGTTGGACGGCTGAGCATGGTCTTGTCTTTCTAGACGGCGAAACATGGTATTGCAGCCTGCTGAAACACGTACGGACCAGCGCCATCGTCTGCGCTCCACCATTATGCTCTCATTCAAAGGCCAGGACAAGAAGCGGGTACGAGTACTGTTCGTGTACTGGAGCAATATATCATGATACAAGATACCCTATAAATATCACACACATATATTAATTGGACTTTGATGGCCCCCGTCTAGCACATACTGGTGGCAGTGGTGCTTAGTTTTGATACCCGACAGCCCCCTTTTTGGGGCTATATATGCACACTGAGGTAAGTCCAACCTCGTCAGTTAGTGTTCATGACTTGAATGGCGCTTCTTCTCAGG